AGGAGTACCTCAGGATGGGGATATACCCGGCGCAGGCCACAGGAGATCAAAAGAGAGCCATTCGATGGTTAGCAAGTAGATTTTTCCTTAGTGCAAGTGTGTTGTACAAAAGAACACCGGACTTGGGATTGCTAAGATGCATAGATGCATGTCAAGCCACGATAGTTATGACAGAGGTGCATTCTAGAGTTTGTGGACCGCATATGAGCGGATATGTGTTGGCAAAGAAGATCCTCCGAGTAGGATATTATTAGCTCACCATGGAGCGAGATTGTATCAGTTTTGTGCAAAAATGCCATCAATGTCAGATACATGGGGATTTGATTCATTCTCCGCCAACAGAATTACACACAATGTCAGTACCATGGCCCTTTGTTGCATGGGGCATGGATGTCATTGGACCTATCGAGCCGGCAGCTTCCAACGGTCATAGGTTCATTCTGGTGGCAATCGACTATTTCACTAAGTGGGTTGAAGCTAAAACTTTCAAGTCGGTAACCAAGAAAGAAGTGGTGGATTTTCTTTTTCATCTGTGGATTTGGGATCCCAAAGGTGATCATCACGGATAATGGTGCTAATCTTAACAGCAGTTTGATGAAAGAAGTATGTCAACAGTTTAAGTTTACACACCGTAATTCCACCCCGTATCGTCCCAAGGCGAATGGAGCGGTTGAGGCAGCCAACAAGAATATAAAGAAGATATTGAGGAAAATGGTGGAAAGGTCTAGACAATGGCATGAAAAGTTACCATTTGCTTTGCTGGGTTATCGCACTACTGTTCGTACTTCGGTGGGTTTAACTCCTTATTTATTGGTATACGGAACTGAAGCAGTGATACCGGCAGAAGTTGAAATTCCGTCTCTTTGAATTGTCGTTGAGGCTGAGATTGATGATGATGAGTGGGTCAAAACTCATTTGGAGCAGTTGAGCTTAATTGATGAAAAAAGATTGGCAGCAGTATGTCATGGCCAATTGTATCAAAAGAGGATGGCAAGAGCGTACAATAAGAAGGTGCGTCCCAGGAAGTTTGAAGTGGGGCAACAAGTGTTGAAACGAATCCTTCCACATCAGGCCGAAGAAAATGGCAAGTTCGCCCTAAATTGGCAAAGGCTGTTTATTGTGACCATAGTGTTGTCCAATGGCGCCTTATGTTTGACCGATGTCGAAGGAAGATGTATAGACATGGCTATCAATTCTGACGCAGTCAAGAGATATTATGTATGATTTCTTTTATTGTAATTGTTGTTTGTTTGTACTTGGCATTGTATCGGAGAATGAAATGACGGAGGCAATTTGTTCTTCTATCCAAACACTTTATCCTTTGTTTCCCCTTTTGAGCCTTATTTATTCTTTCATACCCCTCTTTTAGAATCAGTAATGAAATTGAAAAATAAAAAGAGAAGAGAAAAGAAAAATAATAATAAAAATAAAAGAAAGTCACAAGAAAACAAAGGAATTGGGTGAACTACGTTGACCTGATTCCTCAAAGAGGATACGTAGGCAGCTTCACGGCTCGGTCATAGTGTAACAAAAATCAAAAGATCCCCAAGCAAGAAAACTGGGGCAGAAGTTGTGTTTTTTATTTTGGGAAAGAAATTTGATTCCAAGAGTTGTAAGTTTTACCCATCAAAATTTTTTTGAGCTTTTTGATACCCCTTTCTTTTAAACATACACAAGAACCCATATTGATGTCCAAAGAAAGACCTCCCGATCAGTCTCCGAGAAGTGCCAGGTCGGGCAAATGGAAGTGATCCGTGTCAAGGACAACACTTTGATCCCAACAGGAAAACAATAATGAACATGAGAGAGTCATATCGGTGAAAACCTTCACAGGCACCATAAGGCGACGGAAGTTGAGAGAAATAAAATGAGAGAGTCTTATCGGTGAAAACCCTCATAGGCACCATAAAGCGATGGGAACTGAGAGAAATGAGAGAGTCTTATTAGTGAAAACCCCTCGAAGGGCACTATCAGGCGACAAAGAGTTAAAAAGGGGACAAACGAGATAAGTTTGACGGAAAGGATCCGTCGAGGCATCAAGCAGAATGAAGATGTTGATTCGGCAAAAGAGTTGGGTTGTAGAACCTATGAAATGCAAAGCAAGGCCATCAGAAAGTCGATTGATATAAAAAGACTGGGTTGATTAATCCGAAATGCACGACATGAACATTGGGATCGATTATACCATTTAGATAAGTTCTTTTCTTTTTCTTCTCCTCAAACAATTGTTTAGGAAGACTTTTCTTTTTCTATCTTTTGAAGTTATCATTTTTCATTTCTTTGGTTAAGATTTTGCAATAGTAGTTTGTTTTTGACAAATAAGAAGGATTTTCAAAGCTTACTACAAGTTTCCAATATGGTGCAAGGTGAAATATGGATAGGACCGGCCGAAGATAATGTGCTGGGATGTAAAAGACGTCATTGTAAGACCAAATGATGGATTGGTCTAAGATTTCGGGGAAAGTATGGAGTAAAAAATGGAAAACGACAGTCAAGAAGTTTGTGAATAAGGATTCGCCAAGAAGGCTGGAAGTTATCGGCAAAGTTTCAAGATGGTCGGACAACGCAGAGCATGGAAAGGTGAAAGGGAAAACCATCCCCCAACAGTAGTATCACAACTGCTCACCATATTTTAAACAAACAAAATTTTCTTTGATTTCAAACAGGGGCAGGAAATGTTATTGATGGCGGAAAGACATGCTACAAGGAAGATTATCAAACTGGGGCAGAAAATTTTCTTGAAGTCAGGTACCCATCTGAAGAATAGGGAAGTCAATTCAAGTTTTAAGGGAGAGCAAGACAATATAAGTTTCGAAGAAAGCAGTTTCGAAGGAAGACAATGCAAGTTTTAAAGGAAGTAGTTTTTGAAGGAGGTTAACGCAAGTTTTGAAGGAAGTAGTTTTCGAAGGAGGATAACACAAGTTTTAAGGGAAGCAGTTTCGAGGGAAGACAACACAAGTTTTGAGGGAAGCAGGTCTGGAGGAAGATAATTCAAGTTAGAAGGAAGATAAATCAAGTTTCAAGGGAAAATGGTTCAAGAGGCAAGGAAAAACAATGTCAATAGAATACAGTTTTAAGTTGTTGTTGAAGTCAGGAGTTCGCCTTGAGAACATAGGCGTTATCTTCTTAAGTTGTTGTTGAAGTCAGGAGCCCGCCTGGAAAACGGAGGCATTGTCTTCTTAAGTTGTTGTTGAAGTCAGGAGCCCGCCTGGAGAACGGAGGCGTTATCATTTTAAGTAGTTGTTGAAGTTAGGAGCCCGCCTGGAGAACGGAGGCGTTATCTTTTAAGTGTGTTGAAGTCAGGAGCCGCTNTGAAATGCAGAAGGTGGCGATATTTCAGCCGATGCAAAAAAAATAAAAATTAGTGCGAGCGGCGATGTTGCAGCCGAGAGAAAAATAAATTGGCGATATTTCAGCCATGCAGGATAGAGACAGAGCTTAGTCTCCGAAGACAGAAAGGTAGCCTTATGCAAATGTAGATAGAGACAGAGCTTAGTCTCGAAAGGCAGAGAGGTAGCCTTATGCAGAGAATGCGGATGGAGACAGTGCTTAGTCTCGAAAGGCAGAAGAGTAGCCTTATGCAGAAATGCAGATGGAGACACTACTTGGTCTCGAAAGGCAGATAAGTAGCCTTATGCAGAAAAATGCGGATGGAGACAGTGCTTAGTCTCAAAAGGCAGAAGAGTAGCCTTATGCAGAAATACAGGATGGAGATAGTACTTAGTCTCGAAAGGCAGAAGAGTAGCCTTATGCAAATGCATATGGAAGTAGAGCTCAACCTCGGAAGCAGAATAGTAGCCTTATGCAATGTAGAAAATGCAGATGGAGGTAGAGCTTAACCTCGGAAGGCAGAATAGTAGCCTTATGCAATGAAGAAAATGCAGATGGAGGTAGAGCTTAACCTCGGAAGGCAGAATAGCAGCTTTATGCAATGCAGAAAATGCAGATGGAGACAGTGCTTAGTCTCGGAAGGCAGATAAGTAGCCTTATGCAAAATGCAGTAATTAAAAGGCAAATAGTAATGAAATATCTTAGCTGGTAGATGATAGCTGATAACATCATTGTGGCTGCTGGGATGTTGTGTATGGATAGCGATTATGAACAGGTGATGATTCTGAGAAGCTACATTCTTGGGAAAGTATGAAAGCACGTGATTTTTGCCCCACACGAATTACTCCAAAAGAATTCAAAAAATAAAATAACTTCCCTTTGTGTGCAATTTTGAGAATGTTCATGGCATTTTGTTAATTATTTGTATTTTTGTCTGTGCATGTTTATTTTTCTTAATTAATGAAAAATACAAAAAATAATATATGTGCATGTGCATTTAGGAATTAATTTTGCATTTTCTAGAATTAATTAGTCATTGATTTATATAAAATGAAAAAAATACAAAAAAAACATGTTTAGGATTTGATTTTATAATTTTGGGGTTAAATCATAAATTATTTTTGCAATAATCGGAAAATCATAAAAAAATATGCATTTTGCCTTTTTTGTGTTTAACTGTGTGATTTTGATACTTAATTATTTGCGATAATTGGTATTTAGATTTAATCTGATATTATTTAAGTTAATTTGGTTTTTATAATTTAAGTTAGGATTTTGGTTTTACAAATTAGGAAATAAAAAGGAAAGAGAATAAAAGAGGGAAATCGATTGGGCCAAAAACCTTGAAGCCCAAAACAAATTACCCAATTACCCGGCCAAACCGGCCCAGACCCGTTCCCCATACCCAGTCCGCCCCCAACACAAACTAAACGACGGCATTTCCAGAGTCCCAATCCAAGCCGTTGGATTAAATCAATCCAACGGACCACATCCTTCGCCCATACCCCATTCACAACCTGACCCGTTTACCCCGAACCAAACTCGCCCCCATCTAAGCCAAAACGACCCCGTTTCAATTACTAATTCAATCGGAACCGTTGGATCCTAATCATCTAACGGCTCTGACTGAATCTTTAATTTTAATACACCAACAAGCCTTACCCCTACCCCCAAACCAAATCCCCCCGTTCAATCGTCTCCAACCCCAGAGACCTCTCCCTGTAGCACCGCCATCCTCCGCTACCGGAAATCGCCTCACGGCGGTTCCGGTGGTCCAAACACATCCAAATTAACACCCCTGATTCCCCTTAACCTCCCCATTCCATATATCCTAACAGCTTCCGTCAAATCCCAACCATGCTCTTCGAATCTTCAATCGAAGATCAACCAAAAAACCCTATCCTACCCAATCAACCCCAAATTGACACCATACCACCACAAGACTACCCTCACCACGAATCTTTAATCGGCTCCTTTCAAATCATCGTAGAACGGCTCAGATTTTAGATCGAAGTATGAAATTAGACGGGCCAGGTTCCATGAAATTTGAGTCAGAGACTGACTTTAGTCGTGTGTTTTCCGTCGAAAACACATGGTTAAAGTCTGTCTCGGCCCGAAAATAGAAAGATCTTTAGAGATTTTCAATTTTGAGTTTTGGTCCGATTCAGGTAAATTTCATCTTTTTCAGCTTTGTTCATTGGTTTTCCAATTTGTTTCATCTATTTTGTTTCTCTACTTCTACAATTCTTTAAATCGCATGAATGTTATCTGAATTTTTTTAGAAACTCTGAACCTGACTAATAATCTAAGGACAGTTTGTATATGTCTGAGTATTTGTGTTGTTAATCCCTTGTGTAGTAAGTTGCATTAGAACCATTTGAATTGTTGTTTGTGTTTTCTGATCCCCATAGCTTAGAGAAGTCTAAATGGGGTCAGTCTTGACCCGTTTTGATAGGTTTGTATAGATGACACAGGAATTGAATGGTTTAAGTTGAGGATAAGAGTTTAATAATTGTTTAAAATCAGTAGCAGGACAGCATGGGCTGTCAGGGCACATTTGAATTTAAAAAAACCATGCTGCCCATATTAAGGGATTTAATAAAGGAAAACAAAGATCAGTGGTGGAACTGACAATTAGTAGTGGGAGTTCAGGGAATAACATGGGTGAAATTAGTTTTCTTAACTGACTTAATGCTCTTAAGAGCTGGAAAAGGGGTTTTAGTTTGGATATAAATAGGAGGGAGATTGGATCAGTTTAAGGGGGATTTTTTTAGACAGAGTTTAGAGGCAGACATCATTTTGAGAGATTGAGAGTGAAAAACCTTTAAACAGTTGCGTACTTTACTGTTTGATTGGTTTCTGTCGAAATTCTTTTCAAACTCTAAGTCATTGAAGCAATTTTTTGAATCACTGAGACTTTTGGATAGGAACAAAAGAAAAATATAAAAAAAAGTAAAAAAAAAAAAACTACACTGTTCCATTGGATAATTTCATATTTCTAGCTACTGAGTTGCATTTTCCCGTTTAGTATTGTTTACTGAAGTGCTTGAGGTTCACTGGTTGGTTTTCGAGTGATTTTGGGCTCATTTGAGTTGGTTTCGAGTTGATCTGGTAACTCCGTGTGATTCCAAACATTCCTGGATTTCTGGACCTTGCCTGGGTTGTTTTTGCTCTTCTGCTGTGTGTATTCACACTATTGGATATTGCTGGGAATTATTTATCGTTGTTGCTGCTCGAACTTCTGCCTTAGCTGACCTCTTCTACTACACTTCTGTTCCAATTCCAGGTACACAGCTCTGCTTTTGATAATTGTAAGCTGAAATGTGAAAGAAGAATCCAAATGATAATTGAAGCATGAGATTTGAGTGATTTAAATTCCTATACTATGTATTCAACATTTAGTTTACTGATGTTGTTTAAATTTCTGTTTGTTTTGTATTGAATGGACAGTAAATTGTTAAGTCTCGGACTCAATGAGTTTGTTTCTTTCCAGTGTGATCTTAGTTGTAGTTAATCCTCTATTAACTGATCCATATACAGGGTAAGTACTAGTTATTGCTAATTTCGTGATAGGTTAATAAGTAATTCAAGTTAGTTATAGTTAAATCTCTTGTTAGAGCCTTCATGAATATGTTTGAAAAATGGTGTAGAGATGAGTTAAAACTTTAGTTAGTTGTTTCATTCTTAATCATTAATTGAATGTAATTGGGCTGGATTGTATTGAACTATTCTGAATATCAGTATAATATCGTGTTCGAAAAAAAAGATGGTCGTTTGAGTTTTCATATTGTTCAGGTAAAAGTAGCAATTAGCGTTACTTGAATAAAACTGGAATGTATGAATTTCAGATTAGTATATTGGTGACTTTGGGCTGAGAATGACAATAACACCAATAAATTGTGTTTGACAGTAGCTCAATAGGTAACGTGAACTGGGCCTAAAACTAGAATTCGATTGATCACATTGAATAGGTGAATATTGATTTTCCTTATTTCAAATTGTTGAAAACATTTAGAGTGACGAGAGTAAATTTCAGTAAGTATTTGGTTGAGTAGTTGAATTGAGGTCGTCGCTTGATTGGACGAATAAGGACTGATAGCCCGTTTTTAGGCAATTTGGGCATCAGCGTTTGAACAAGACTGCCCAGGTCCTATTTTAACATTGCATTCGTTTGGACCTAAGCCCAGGCTGGTGAATGGCCTGCCCATGTGCATATTTGGATTCTGATTTATTACTCGGGTCGTGTTCAAGGCCCAAGCGGGTTGAGGATTTGAATTTGTATGAACCCATAGACCCAATTATAATAGTTCTTAAACAACATTAATTAACTAGGACTCTTTCTTTTGTTTTAGAGACAATAACAATAGAAAATCATAGTCGTTTTTTTAGGTTTGCTTTTAAATAATAAATGAGACGAGCCTCGCTGAACAAAAATACCTAAATTGTGGGGCCCTAAATAAATGCTTGTATTAAAATACTTAGAATTCAGGATGGGCCGTTTAGCGAATTTCACGGCCTTCCCCAAAGATAATAAAGCGTTAGTCTCTTTAGGCGCGTATTTTAATAACATCACCTTCCTAAACTCGGGTGCGCATTTATGTGACCCAAATCAATTCTCAACGACGTTGAAATATGTCAAAAACCACGGGTGCATTTATGTGACGTGGTTCGAGACGTGTTTTAATGACATTGCAATTCTCTTTTAAAAATAATAATATTAAAAGCGGCTAAAAGTTAAAGTTTGCACATAGGTTCATAATTATTTAAATCAGATAATTAAGCCATTTATAATAGTTGAGCGACCGAGAACCACGGAACTCGGGAATGCCTAACACCTTCTCCCGGGTTAACATAATTCCTTACTCGGATTTCTGGTTCGCGGACTGTTAAACAGAATCAACTTTTCCTCGATTCGGGATTAAACCGGTGACTTGGGACACCATAAATCTCCCAAGTGGCGACTCTGAATCTTAATAATAAATCCCGATTCGATTGTCCTTTAATTGGAAAAACTCCTTTACACCCTTTACGGGGTGTAGGTAAAAAGGAGGTGTGACAAGTATGAGTGCATAAATATACCTAACGATATTGCGAATCAAGTGCCTACATCGAAAGAAAAATCGTGAGTTTTGTAAAAGGGGGATGGTTAGTTCGTCTTCCCGTGGCTCCTGACGTTGTGTATCATTAGGGTAGCATCGCTAAATAACATCAATTGGGATAATAGTTATGCATGATTTAGTAAATATAACGTAAGTATATAATCAAAAATAGTTTTTAGATGAAACGACGACTACGACGCGGTTCACGACATTGCAACCATCCCTTGCTCCGGAATTTTTAGGGTCCTCCTCAAAATTCCGCCCCGGTTTACTAGGCTGGCTCTTCCGACAACTACGTGCGATGAATGGCTGAAAATCAACTTCGGAATTTAGAATGTCCTCCTCAAAATTCTGCCCCACTTTCCAATAACGGGGGAAATGGAAATTTTATTAAATTGTGATCGAACAAACCCATAGGGCTGCCTACGTATCCCCTCTTTAAATGGGAATCAGGTCAAGCGTAGTTCAGATTACATCATAAAGGGAATCATAAATGGTTGCACATAGTATCGCTTTACTGCATCTGAATTCATTGGCTTCGGCTAGACTTCTCCGTAGATTTCTGCAAGAATAAGGGCTCCTCCGGTTAGAACCCGGTGAACCATGTACGGACCCTGCCGGTTGGGAGAGAATTTCCCTTTGGCTTCATCTTGATGTGGAAAAATCTTCTTCAACACCAGCTGCCCCGGTGTAAACTTCCTTGGCTTGACTTTTTTGTTGAAAGCTCTGGACATTCTATTTTGATACAGTTGACCGTGGCATACAGCATTCATTCTTTTCCCATTTATAAGGGCTAACTGCTCGTAGCGACCTTTTACCCATTTGCGTCATCTAACTCGGCTTCTTGTATGGTTCTTAAGGAGGGAATTTCTACCTCGGCGAGAATGACCGCCTCTGTACCATAAATCAGCATATAGGGGGTTGCCTCGGTTGATGTGCGGACTATGGTGCGGTATCCTAATAAGGCGAATGATAACTTCTCATGCCACTGTTTGTGCCTTTCGATCATCTTCATTAGTATCTTCATGATATTCTTGTTGGCCGCTTCTACAACTCCATTCATCTGAGGCGTGTAGGCTGTAGAGTTCTTGTGTTTGATTTTGAAGGTTTCACACATTGCTTTCATCAGGTCATTGTTGAGATTGGTACCGTTGTCGGTAATGATCGACTTTGGGATGCCGAACTGACAAACAATACGGCCGCGGACAAAGTCTGCCACAACCTTCTTAGTTACCACCTTGTATCTGTGCCCGTTTGATGCCCAGTGAATTTGTGCCCGTTTGATGCGGCAGGCTCGATAGGCCTGATAACGTCCATTCCCCAAGCGGCGAATGGCCATGGCGAGCTTGTTGTAGTAAGCTCATTTGGAGGCACCTTTATCTTATCTGCATGTATCTGACAGCGATGGCACTTTCGGACATACTGGGTGCAGTCCGTTTCCATAGTCATCCAATAATACCCTGCTCGGAGTATCTTCTTTGCTAAGACAAAACCATTCATGTGCGGTCTGCAGGTCCCTGCATGCACTTCGTCTAATAACCTGGATAATTCTTTTGCTTCGGCACACCTTAGTAATCCCAAATCGGGAGTCCTCCTGTACAGGATTCCTCCAATGTGAAAGAAGTTGTTAGACAATCGCCGAAGGGTGCGTTTCTGAGTAGCATTTGCAAGTTCTGGATATTCTCCTATTGTCAAGTACTTTTTGATGTCATGTAACCATGGTTTTCCGTCCGCTTCTTCCTCAACATGAGCACAGTAAGCTGGATGATCATAAATCTTTACCGGGATGGGATTAACAAAATTCTTATGATGTTAGATCATGGATGATAGAGTAGCTAATGCATCTGCAAATTCATTCTGGACCCTGGGGACTTGCTGAAACTCCGTCTTTGTGAATCTCTTCCTCAACTCCTGTATGTGATGCAGATAAGGAAGTATCTTAGAGTTCTTGGTTGCCCACTCTTCTCGAACTTGGTGTATGAGCAAGTCTAAGTCTCCGATACTAGCAATTTCTGAACATTCATGTCAATGGCCATTTTGAGCACAAAGATGCAGGCTTCCTACTCGGCCATATTGTGGGTGCATGGGAATCTGATCTTGGCGGATACCGGGTAATGCTGGCCGATTTCTTATACTAGGACTGCTCCTATGCAAACTCCTTTGAAATTTACGGCTCCATCGAAGAACATCCTCCAACCATCATAGGATTCTGCAATGCCTTCTCCTATGAAAGATACCTCTTCGTTAGGAAAATACATCTTTAGAGGCTCGTATTCTCCGTCCACGGAATTCTTGGCGAGATGATCCGCCAAGGCTTATCCTTTGACCGCCTTCTGAGTTTTGTAAACAACGTCGAATTCTCTTAGCAGCATTTTCCACTTGGCGAGCTTTCTAGTGGGCATGGGCTTCTGGAATATATACTTTAGCGGTTCCATTCTTGATATGAGATAAGTAGTGTAGGCACAGAAATAATGCCTCAATTTCTGAGCTACCCAAGTCAGAGCACAATAGGTGCGCTCTAGTAGAGAATATCAGGCCTAGTACGGGGTGAACTTCTTGCCGAGATAGTAGATGGCTTGCTCCTTTCTCCCCGTTTCGTCATGTTGTCCCAAAACACAACTGAATGCTCCATCCAATACTGCAAGGTAAAGAAATAGAGGTCTTCCTGGTTTGGGCTGAACCAGAACTGGCGACGTTGACAGATATTCCTTGATTCTGCCAAAGGCTTTCTGACAGTCATCATTCCATTTGGTGGCAGCGTCCTTCTTTAACATTTTAAAGATAGGTTCACAGATGACAGTGGACTGAGCTATGAATCGGCTGATGTAGTTGAGTCTCCCCAGAAAACTCATCACGTCCTTCTTGTTCTTTGGCGGTGGCAATTCTTGAATGGATTTAACCATTGACGGATCCAATTCTATTCCTCGACGACTCACGATGAAACCCAGTAATTTTCTAGCAGGAACCCCGAATGCACACTTGGCGGGATTCAGTTTCAGATTGTATCTTCTCAGTCTGTTGAAAAACTTTCTCAAATCTCCCATATGATCAGTGGCTTTCTTGGATTTGATGATGACGTCGTCTACATATACCTCAGTCTCCTTATATATCATGTCGTGAAAGACAGTAGTCATGGCCCTCATGTAGGTGGCACCTGCATTCTTTAACCCGAATGGCATCATTTTGTAACAATACATTCCCCACAGTGCAATGAAAGTCATTTTCTCTGCATCTTCCTCATCCATCCATATCCGATGATACCCAGCGAAACAATCGACAAATGACTGCAGCTCATGCTTGGCGCAGTTGTCAATTAGAATGTGTATATTTGGCAAGGGGAAGTCGTCTTTGGGACTGGCCCGGTTGAGATCCCGATACTCGACACAGACTCTCAATTTCCCATCCTTCGTCGACA